GTCTTTTCCAACCTAAACGATTCTATGATTCTATGAAGGGAAAGGTGTCTGTGAGGGCTTTTATAGGACAGATGCATCAGTTCCCATGAGTTGTGTTAAATCATTTGTATTGGTGCTTATCAATAGACATCTCAACAGATGTCTCAGTAGACGTCTCTGGTCCTTTCCAAACTTCTTCATCTAGTCCTGTAATTCCTATATCTGTACCCATGTAGAATGGAGCTTGAGAGAGTGCCTGTCTGACTTCACCTTCTTGTCCTCAAATATTCTGCCCTCTGCCTGCTCTATTTAATCTTAATAATAAATGTCATATTCCAAATGATGTATTTCAAAGGAGAGAAATCAACCTTCAAAGGAGGCTGCTGAATTCAGGTTCTGCTTTGGAAGAGATCAGAATCTCATGTAACCTTTTTCTAAAATGAAAACAGTTACAATTATTGAAAATGATCTATTTTCCTTTCAGCAAATGAAGGCATTGAACAGCTCTTGTTTCCGAAATGAGCATTTAAAGTTTCTGGATGAACCTAAAGCAACTCGGAAATCTTACCAAATAGAACAAATTTGCAGAATATTTTTCCTTCCAAAAAAAAAGAGTATTTTCTTCTTGAAAGCTTGCTTTGGTTGGTCTCATACCTGTGTATTTACAATTTATAAACTCGTCAGAAGACACAGGAGCTGTATTCCTGATGGAAAATCAGTGGGATATATGTTTCTAAATCATCTGGCTAACTGTGTCATGTCCCGTGTCTGTTCCCCCCTGCTTCTCCCTCCCCTTTTTATCGCATTACTCCTTGAGTATATAGACTAGGAGCCTCTTATGACTTGTGTCTTAGGGGAGGGGTATGAAGCTTATTCTCATGTTGTTTTTAATCTATGGCTTAGGAGATATTTTGTTGCAGAACAATGCTATGATCTATAAACCCATCATAAAAAATCAAAACTGAGGTTTCCATGGCTAGAGTGAAGATTATGTTGGCCTTTGGCATCAAGACTCATGTGAATCAAGTGTTTACCCAGTCAGAATCCTTTGTTTTATAAGTAAGGGATGATAACAGTTCAGTTGTGAAATGTAATGGTGATGACCAACTTGTAAAATGCTCAGTGCATGGTTATTAGTAGTACTTTATGTGGAATTCAGGTCAGCACAATATATCTTTCTGGTTCTTTTTACAAAATTATAACAGGGTCATAAACATTTTCATTTTGTCTTTTTATTGGCAAGAAGTGTTTTATGATACTATACATGCTATGGCATTCACTTAAACTATTTTTCTTTGTTGTTCTTGGGGCTTCAGAATAGGTAACTTGTTCATCTATCTGATACTCATTCATTTTGATTACTCTTACGTCATGCAGTCTTTTCAATTGCAGCTAAAAATTCCAGTCTGTGGTGCTGTGTTGTATTCTCAAAATTTTATCAGCTGAGTCAGCTGGTGGGCAGAGAGACTTCTGCTGCAATTCAAAGGCCTGCCACTCCTTCTTGTACCCTTTAAAAAATAAGAGGCATCTTAGTAACAGAACTCTACCTTTTTCTGCCAGCAGACTAATACGTTATCCATAAGAATAGTGTTTTATTAGTGTATTCTTTTAAGGGAATAAAATAAGCCAAATAGTTCTAGTGTTGGTCCATTTGCTATTGACAAGTGGAAATATTTGTCAGGAACATGGGGGAAGGTTGCAATCTACTTTTGACTCTTTGTGGAGGATTTGTCTTTTCCCTTCTTTTTTTCCCCATGAAGGAAAAGAGAAAATGGAAAAGGAATTGCAATCACTTGGGAGCACCATCTTTCTTAAGAAGAGCAGCTTCTGTAGCAGAGTGATTTCCACCCCACCCCCCTTTTGATTTTGGGAGGAAAAATGATGTAAACTGTGTGAGGGAGAACTGTGATATTTGGAAGGGTGACAGAAAATGTTTGGGGAGTGGAAGTGTGCTAGTGTGAACCGTTTGCTGTATGTATGTGAATATGCAATAGGAATTCTAATTTAGAGATACATCCCACATCCTTCTGGTCCCCTTTGACTGAAATATTTCTGAATGAAGTAAAAGTGATTTCTTTCTTCAAATATGTTTTCTTTTGCTCTGTATTTTAGATCTGTTTTGTTCTAATTGACCTTTAGTATGTTGTAAACTATCCCTAATTCACCCAAGAGTAAGAAAAAAAAAAAGAAAAAAAAAAGATTTTACGTAGAATCACTTTAGGGTTGGGTTGGGTGGGTTTTTTTGTTACAGTATGCACACAAATACAGGATGTCATGTTTCATTTGCTTGCACAGTTTTTCCTTTTTTGTACTCTTGCATAATGGCAACTTTATTGGCTGAAGGGTAGATATCATTCTATTGCTTTCACTGTTAATGTGTTTCTAAAGTGGTATCTGTATCCTTTTTAGAACTGAGAGAAGATGGTTTCCAGCCTCCAAGCTATTTAGTGCAAGGAGTGAAGGCTTTACTTACTGCTTTAAAATTATGGATGAAAAAAGAAGTAAGTATAAGTGATTTTATTTGCTATTTTGGTGAGCTCTGTTTTGATTTAGAAGTAAGTAAAGGTCTGTGCCCTTTTAAAGTTTAGGATTATTTTTAACTGTTAATGGGTGCTGAAAGACTCTATGGAGAGTATGTACTGCTGATCTGGGGAAGAATCATCATGACAATTTTATATTCCATGATGCTACTAAAGTCTTTTTAGACCAATTAATAAACTCTTGTATTGTAGCTGACAGAAGTAGAATCTTGCTTCACCTTAGGATGGGATAAGCGTGCTAGAGGATAAGCTGATAAGGCGGGGCTTTTTTCTAACAAATCTGTTTATATAGTTGATTTATTCTAGTCTGAGGCAATGGAAGGATGGAATGCCTTGATATTTAGCATTTTCTGTTACTGTTAGTGCTTTGGCGAGCACATTTCAGGTACATCTGTATTGCTGAAGAGTCAGTTTAGATTCAGATCAGGATATTAACTTCAGTTGAATACTGTCCCTGTTGAATGTCAGCTGACTCTTGTAAAATCATTAATGTGTTGTCTATGCTGGCTTTGCTGGTGCTCTGCTCTCCAGGAAAGCTTATTTGTTTTGGCACAGCACTGGATCTGGCCTAACTCCATGTGTTTTTTCATGTGCCTGGGTTAATAAGCCCTCTTGGAACCTGGGAAGTGCTGTTTGCTGACAGGCAGTTTGGTTCTGACTGAGCTTATTAATTCTAGTTTGTTGCTGGCCATGCTGACTTGAACTGGCTCTTGGAGATCTGTTTGGTCTTTCTGTCCTCAAGTTCTCCTTGTATAAGAACTTATTATGCAACAGGTATGATATTTGCACAATGCCGCATCCAACATAATGAGCTTTGTGGAACTGAACACGAGGTGCAAATGCAGAGGTGGTTACTCTGTGTGGAATCAGCTAGGGTCCAGCCTGTGTAGCATTACTGATTCCAGGTGAACCTTTGCTGACCCTTTGTAACACCTCTGAGTTAGTTCTTCAGTGTCTCTTTGTGCCACTCTGAATCAAAGGTAGCTATTAAGCAGTGTAGCAGTATTTACAGGATGTTGTGCCTAAGCTGTCCAAGCTATCTCTGCATCCGTGGCATGGATAATAAGCAAGCTGAGTAATCAGGCTGCTGATAACTGAGATCAACCATAGCCTGTATAAATCCTTATTTTAATTTGAAATTGGATTGGACTTCCTCTTTTCTAGATTGCTGTAGTATAGTATTGTAGCATTTGTGTACTGTCTAGTAGCTGATTAAGTAGTTTGATTAATACTTCGTCTAGAATATGATACATTTCCTACTTTTCTGTGGAAAAAAATTAATTGCATGTACTGCAATCTGAGTGCTTATTAATGAGACCCATGAGTATTCCCAAACCACTGGCTGAACAGACACTTCAATTGTGAAGAAACCGCGCAGCATCAGTGATCTAGCCACAATGTTGTCTGCTGTCCACCAGCTATCATGTTCTGTACCTTGTGTTCATCTTTTCTAGATACTGTTTCATAAGTGAGCTAATCTTTTCTTTGCAGCAGGCCATGTGCGTGATAGGATTGTAGCTGTATCCACATGAAGACAGGAGGAGCTTTGTACGTTGCTACACAATCTGCTCATGCTGGGGATTTCAGACAGAATCTGAAAAAGAAATGACAAATGAATACTCCACAAATGAGAAACCTACTCATGAGGTTTCACATTAGTATCATGGAGTATGTCTTTTCAAGACATGTGAATTACCTTAGTGAATTGCTTTAAACTATTTGCTGGAGAACTTCAAACTCATCTTTAGCAGGACAGCAGTATCTTCATTTCCGCAATATTTAAAAACTGCCAAAAATTACAAGATGCTGAGAATAGAGATTGAGTGCTACTAAAATTATTTTAGTTTTCATATATTGATTTTAATTCAGTTTGTGCAGGGCTTTTATCAGTTACATGTATCCTCTGATTACTTTGGTGCAGATCATCAGTCTGCAGCTTAGTTGATACACACAATAAAGATGATGGCCTATCCAGTCATCCGAGTTCTTGGATTTTAGCTCTGGCTTCCTTCCAGCTTGCATAAGCAACAAGTCTCAGACTCAATTTTTCAGATGTTTGATCCATGAAACAGTAAGATTATTTTGAGCAACTGTTCTGTGTTTTTGAAAAAAAAAATTAATAGCTGTTGTAGAAGAAAAAAAATCAGGCTTTTTTGTAAGGAGGGAGGGATGTGGGGTTAATTATTTTTATTTTATCTTTACTTTTTTGTGTGGTTTCTTTAGTATTGATATACTTCATTGCGATGCTAGTTTCCAAAGATGGGTGGATTCATTTGCCAACCAGGACTTTATAAAATCTGTATCTCTTGATTTAAGACCAGTTTCTTTTTCCTCTGTTTATTTCCAACATTTACATAACGATTTATTGAAGCTCTTGAATGAATCATAGCTTTTTTTCATTGTTTTCTTTACCTGACATACTTAGGCCATTTTGAACAGAATTCCTCAGTCCCAAAGGCTGCTTGTTCCTTTTCCAAGAGGCAGTATGCAGAGACAACTTAAAAACAAGTTATTTAATAATGATAATAATTTTTCAGACATGGTGTCTGTAGGTATTCATATTTCCTGCCCATCCTTTCCTTCTGTCAGACTGTTAGGTTATGTATTCATTTGAATTTGTTCGCATATTTAAGTTGCTTGGATGGATTTTTTTTTTTTTTTTAAATAATTACTTTGCCACAGCTTAATTGAGAAAGCTTTGGTGTAAATAGATACCTTTTATAGTAGCAAACAAGTGAGCTTGCCAGTGGAACTTACTTTGCACACAGAGTTACTGTAAATCATACTGGCAAAATAATGTACTTCTGATACAAACTATGTTTGCATTAGGAAGGCTTTTCAGTATTTTTAAACCAGAGAAACTTTGAAGTCAGTGTATTGGAGGACTGCATCAGTCACTTCCTCTTGAAGTCTTCATGGACAGGAAGGCTTCTGGAAGAGTGAAATCCTTAAGTAGAAAGGACTGAATGGTCCTAAAATGACCAGTAACTTGCTGGAAAAATTGTACAGTTTAGTGACGGAGGTGCTGTGTTCCCAAGCGTGAATGTGTAGAGGTGATGTGTTCAAAGAATGAACAATGGTAAATAATAGCAGCCAATTTAATCTTTCCTGTAGAATTAATGGCACTGAAAAGAATGGTTATACCATGGTTATACATCTGTGGTTGTTTTTTTTGGGTTGTTTGGGGTTTGGGTTTGGGATTTTTTGGGGGTGGAGGTGGTGGAGAGGGCATTCATTTTAATGACTGAGAGGAAACCAGGTTCAATGAAATGCACATACAGTATCAAATTGCTTCTAGCAATAATTTTGCTGCTGAATCTCATTTTTGAAATGTGGGTAGCTGATACTGTTTGTGGGATATTTTTCCATTTAAATAGTCGATTAAGGGGATAGCAGAATTCATGTCAGTTATTCTGGTCTGTGTGAATGCAGTTTTGTCTGTTTAATTTTAACTAAAAGTGTCTTGGGGCAGATTTAAACTGTACATACAAAATATTAAACATATTTTTTACTAGATCTAACTTTAGAGTGTTCGGACTTACTCAGATTGGTGATAAGTAAATAGAAAACCTGTCTCTGATACTGTTTCAGAGGATTAAAGGGAACATAAACTGTTATAGCATCATAACTTTTTTATAGGGAATATTTTTTAATTACTTTCTCCAACCTACCAGATTTTAAATAAGCTAAGGTGGCAATTTTTAGAAGTCAAATGTGAGGCAGACATCTAAAAAATCTGCATGTTGGTTACTCGTTATTATTCTTGATTTGCTTCTTAGATTAAATTTTAGCCACAGTGAAATTTCCGTAGTCTTTAGCTGTTTCAAAGGTCATTAATGAGTTTCTGAAGTGTGGCTCTATACTGACTATGCTAAAGGAAAATAAAGAAGCTGAGTACTGTACTGAGGGGAAAAAAAATTAAGTGGTTGTCAGTATGGCTTTGTATTACCCCTCCTTTGGATTCTTAAAGATTCTAAGAGAAGCTGTGGGATGGCCAAACTTGAGGCGCCCTTATGTACCCTGGGCATCAGACACTGAGGGATATCTGCTGCCTTCTAAAGCTTGGACTGGAAGCTTCAGTGTGTGTGTGTGTATCCTGGCAGTTTGCAGTCATTATTAAAGAAATTAATCTGTTTTTTTTCTTTTTAAATTTTTTCCCTGTAGATTTGTTTAGTTTGTATGACTTCCGCTTTTATCTGAGAAAATGAATTAAGTATCTTTTCTTCCCCCTTCGCATACAGCTTGTAACAGAACATGCCTTTGAAATTCCAGACAACATTAGGCCTGGACATCTCATAAAAGAGCTCTCAAAAGTGATTCGTTCTGTAGAGGTAAGAACAGAGGCAACACTACATAAGCCTGCAGGAAAAAAAATCTTTGAATCAGGGAATTCCTTAGTAATTACACTTCTGATTGACTGTATTCACCTTTTAATTTCTTTAACATTCATTTAATAATAGAAGATCAAGAAGAGAACTGTTGGGAATACTAACCTATGGGTATTTCAAATAAAGAAAATGTATAGCAAGGGTGTTTTATGTATTTAAAAAAAAGATTTTTTAATGGTGAAATTATTTGTAGGTCGGTATTTCTAAAATGTTCTCACTTAAAACTACTTAAAATAATTACTGTGAATATGTTGTTAGAGAGTTTAATTTGAAACTCTGTGCATATTGCATTCTCCTACCCTGTTGTTTGTTACTTCTGGTCCAGTTGTCACCTCTTTTGCTCTTTTTCTTATGTTTTGTCCCTATTTGTTATATAGTCAGTGGGGTTTTTCTTTCTTTTTTTCCCTTCTATACCAGTGTTTTGCTCCTTTATTCCTTAATGAATACAAATTCTTGAAAAATTCTGACATTTGCACGTGGAGAGAACAATTCAGAGAACTGAAATGTGATCTGTTGGGTACAATACATGTCTACCCTACGCTGCCTTCCTGAATAAAACCTTATGTTTTGGTGGTAACTTTTGGTGTTAAGCACTACTATTATGGGAGAGTTTAAAAGCCCCAAATGAGAAAGAGGTACAATAGAACCAAGCTTTGTATGTCAAATCTGTAGGAAATATGTAGTACTTCTCTAAAAGGTCTAACAATTTTATGTAACTTACATTTAATTAGATGAATAAGAAGCAGCACTTAAATATGTGGATTTATTCCTCTGAGACTGTTCTGAAATATGTGTTTTTGATTAAAGGAGGAAAACAGCAAACTAGTTAAAACTCAGGGAATTCTTGGTGTGTGTCCAACTTCACGGTCTTCGCATGAAACAACTTCCCCTCACCACTCCAGACGAAGGGTGAGGAAACTGCGAGACCATGCTACCAAAACTCCTTCTAATCTGGACATCCTGGAACTCCACACCAGGGAGGTACTGAAAAGGCTGGAGATGTCACCATGGGAGGAGGCAAGTATTAAGTTATGTGCAAGAAAAACAAAACCAGAGTAGATTTCTAATCTCTGTTGGAAGAGAAAAGCTTTTAACGTAATAAGAATACAGGCTACTACTCTTTGTCATATGAGATTTAGATAGATTTGGTTTTCGTTTCTTTCTTTTGAGTTTTCCTGATAGGAATTTCTCTCTTCCTTGATAATTTTTTGTGGAGGTTCCTTCAACCTTTTGATTCAGAAGGTGCCCTGAACCTGCTACCTACTTCAAGTATGGTTTTTGAATTAGGACTGCTGTAGCTATCAAGTGCTCCTTTGAGTCAGTTCTGTGAAGAAAAAGGAGCTTGCAAAGCCTTGATTTGGTGAGGCCCTGAGCCGCACTGCTTCTCTGTGTGTTTTTAGATAGCTGTTTCTTATAGTTCAGTTACTGTAATTTGATTAGCCTTGTTTTTTGGTCATGTTCCTATGTCCTGTATGACTGTGCATTCCTACCAGTAGGCCTAAGGCTGCCTTTGGTCTCCATTGTGGGGCTGCGGACTTTGTGGTGGTACTACAAAGGTATCATGGAGTGAATGAGCGAAATGTAGTCTCTTGAAAATTTGGCTTTTTTCAGGTTTGATGACCTTATTTCAAAAAACAGCAACAGAAATGGGAGAGGGAGTGAGAGAATGGAAATAAGTAGCTTTCTGAGAATAAGAAAAGCTGACAAATTTAGTTGGGGCGGGATGGACTGTCATAGTGGAGAAATACTGATTTGGGCCCTTATACTGATCTTCATAAGGCATGAACAAGACATTCATTTAGCCCCCAAAGACAGGAAGCTGAACATAAAATTTACCACAGATAGTTAACCTGTGCAGTTCATTGCTACAAACAAATGTTTAGGAGTGTTAGTCATTGTCATTTAATGTAGAAATATATTGTTCATGACCAATATTGACTTGTAAAAACAAGTAATATTTTACATGTTCCTGGTTGGGCACATAAGTGTATCGCCAGTTGCTTCAGAGTATATGTCAAATGTAAATTGTTTTGAGCTAAGAAAATTCTATTTATGGCAGGTTACTTTCCATTATTGATGTTTTACTAAGACAGTAAATGGGACATAATCAGTACTGGGATACTAATTCCAGGGACCAGATACCCAATCCAGGAGTTACCTTATCAGTTCCAAGCCCACCTTTTGGCATGCTTGTGTGTATTGGTATTTCTTTGTTTTGAATGCAGTGATAATTCTCCAAAGCAAACATAAAAGGAGTGTTATAGTGAAGTTGTAGTTGTTTCAGATGTTTCAGGAGAGTATAGATGATTCAAGTGTCGTGGTTTAGAAACCAGGACATCAAGGAAGGAGAAGATGCAGTCTACTGGTTTTTTACATGCAAACATGTTTTGTCTGAGCTTTCTTCAGTTGGTTATCAGGAAGGTAACCATCCTGGTGCTGAATTTAAGCTTTTGTGGAGTGCAGAAAAAAACCAATTGAATTTACAGAAGGGAATAATAAGCAGTATTGCTTTTACTTCTTTAGGATACCGCAAGCTCAAAACTGAATGGGAGATTTAACAAGCCCTTTCAGCCATCTTCTACAGTACCTGAATGGCGAACAAAAGACAACGATCTTCGCCTTCTGCTGTCAAATGGAAGAATAATTAGGTACAAAGGGTTGATTGTGGATCACTTGTTCCTACTCATTATGGTCTGGAGCATGCTAATTATTAATAATATTTCTTTTCTGTTTGTGGAGCTTTTACCAGTAAGATTCATGTTAGGAATGTAGAAGGAATGCTGTGTCTCTTGTCCACCAATAGAGCCACGGTTATGGAGTGAAGAGGAGGAGATTCTTTGCATGTTCCTTTGTTACAGCATTTCATTCAGTTGCTCAGTGGAGTTTGTACTGAAGGGAATGCTTCAAAGTAGAAACGGTTGTTTTGTATCCATCTATTAGAGTGATTCTCATTTAAAATATTCTGGTGTAAAACTTCGCGCATTTTTATGGAAAATACAGTTGTACAGGGTGTAAAATGGGGATACATACAATTTGGAATGAAGAGATGAACATAAGAGAATGTGTCCTGGTTTCGGCTTGTTGTTATTGTTGTCTTTCGAGAGTGTGTTGTAAATAATGAAAGGAAAACAATTGCTTCAGGTCTGTAAGAGTAATGATTTTTTTTTTTCCCTTGCGGGACAGAGATGAGAGACGCCCATTTACAGATCGAAGTCTTTACACAGCAGATAGTGAAGATGAAGATGACAGGACAAGGTCGAAAAAGGCGACTGTTAAGGTAGAAGACCAACCCTCAGGATCTGAAGGAGAAGGGAATGCAGATGCCCAGAAACCACTGAACAGTAAGCTTGTCTCTAAGTCCTATCAGTTGAACATTTTGATGATCTTGAAGAGGGTCTAACTATTGTGAAGTCTGACTGAAATTTTACCAAAGTATAAAGAGGATAAACTAATAGATCAGAGAAGTAACATTAGAATTTATAACAAAACATTTGTCAAATATTATCTGTCTGCTGAAGAAGCTAACAGGATAGAGTTGAAAAGTAAAACTCACCTTTTTGTGTTAGTGCCATCTTGAATAATATGTACAGCATTTTTCAGAGTGGAGGTTTAATTTGTGTTCTAGATGAGTATTTGTTCCTTTTGGTCTGTTTCATAGTGTAAGAATGTTGATTTTTCTTGACCAAAATATACTTCAGTGTGAAAAGTTCATCACATCATTTACTGTAGAGAATAAAAGATCATAACATGCAGCTAATTTTAAACCTATCTCATATTTCACTTTTCTGTTGCATTTGGTGATTATATATTTGATCATACAGTTTTGTATGTTTTGCTAATGAATAGGTTTATTCCATACAAGTGATCAAACATAATTTAGCATTAATAAAATCTTATACTTTCAACCTTTGCAGTAATCTGCAAGGCTGAGGAAGAATTTAGGTTATCTGTAAAACACTTTAACCCCGCTTCCCAATACTTTAAACCATCCTTCACTAGGTGTTAAACTTTTTTGGTCTTTCTTGTAGCCTCAAGCTTTCCTGTCAAGTGTTCAGAAGCGCTGATCACACAGTGTATTAGTAAAATATCAATATTGATGCCCGTTTTCAGTGCCTATTTTTAATAGCACTGTCTGTGTGCAGTGGCAGATTGGTCCTTGACATAGCTGTTCAGCTCTCTGTTTAATTATAAAAGTCACATCCTTTCACAGTAGAGCTTACAAGGACTCAGAGGGTGTGTGTTAGGAAACTGAGGTCAACACTTAAAACATAACAAGACTCCTCTAGAGACTTACAATTCCCTTAGTTTCCTGCACAACAATTCGTAACAATATTTGAGTCCATCGTCAGCCTGGGTAAAATATTTAATTATTTTTGTTAACAAAGCAATTTGTAATCCCTGTTGACTGTGCTTCCAAAGGTCACAGAGAACAGTATTAAAAAATTTGCCCAGGAAAGAGGTCCCTCTTGGGTACTCAAGAACCAACAAGGCAATTGGCTTGTTGAGTGCAGGCTTAGGCATATGTGGTGTTCTTCCACTTTCAGAATTAAACTAAGAAAATTAAACTAAGTTTTACACTTGAATCAAAGATTAAGTCATACAGAGAAACGGTAGATTTTCTTCAAAATTGTTGCTCTTACTTGATACAGAATGAATATGGCAGTGGGCTAAATGTAAGAAATGCACTTAGAACTAGAAGTGAATGTTGAGGTTGTTCTTCCAGATCAGGGCTATCGCTAATATTTTTAATTGAATAATGAGAGTCTTCAAACTTCCCTATTAAAGATCAACTACATTTGATTATTTTGCCTTAACTGAAGGTCGAGAGAGGGAGAAGATACTCTTTTGCAGAGAATTCCATAAAAGGAACTACCTGTTTCTATAACAGCTGCCACCTTCCATTGTTCTTACTGGGATTTAGGCCAAGAGGCAATGTCGACAGAGAGATGCCTTTAAACAGATCAAACTCTATATAGCTTTGTGTGTCATGCCAATGTTCTGGTTCTAAATGGTGATCCAGTGTTATCAGAGAGACAAAGATCAAGTGCTGTGCTTAACAGAGCAAGATACTTTGTGTGGATGAGGGGAAGGTGATTTAAGATACTTTTTTGAATTTGCAGTAGCTTAGCCTGATCTTACAGATAAACAACTGCTTTCCTTCACACGATTTCTGGAGTATTCCTCCCAGACTCTGGAAGCATGCGGAGCTGTAACTTCATCTGAGGGTAGACCGGTTCATTTTAAAGTAGAAATAGTAATTACCAAGGTAATTCACAAAAACAACAAACAAAAAAAAGCAAAACCCAACTTGTATATTTAGACTGAATTTTTTTAAAGCTCAGTTACAAATTACGTGCATGGATGAAGAGGTGAGGGCTCCTAATAATACATGATGTGTTGTTGGGAAGATCAGTAAATGTATCTCAAAAACCTGTATGTGAAAGAGAAGGGGGAGAAAACTGTAATCTTTTGCAAGGGAATGTAGAAAGCAGGGAGGGAGTGGAAAGCAATTTGGATTTTTTTTTTTTTTTTTTTTTTTTTTTTTTTAAGAGGAGTATAAAGGAATGCAGCTTCCCTGCCTTTTTGAACAATATAAGGCAGAAAGAAAACTGGGGAGGTATTCTCTGACTGCTTTGCACAGAGCTTGCAAAATAAAGAAGTGTTAAAAATGGACAATGGTTTGGCTGCATATAGGAATATTGGCATAGCCAAACTGGATCAGACCTGAGGCTCATACAGTGTGTTATGTCGTATATGCTGGTACCCAGCCCCAAATGAACCAGGAATGTCTCAGTAATGTTGGGTGGCTTTAGCTGTTCAGTCTAGATCATATTACCAGGTAGTAGGCAGATGATAAATAATTCGTCTCTCTTAGTAGGGTATCATCAGTTAATCTCTATGAGAAGGCATGAGGGCTTCTGAAGCGTGAGACTCTGTATTTAGCATTGCTTTTATCAATCTTAGTATTATCTGTGTATAGCTAATTGTGTACATGTCCAGTTTCTTTTCTGTCTTGTAATCATTTGCCACCTTATAGGAAGATTCACATTTCTTCTTAATGGTTTTGTCATTTTAATTAGGATTTTTCAGTTACTTAAGACAGAAAGAAGAAAAATTCCTGAGGAGCCTTCATGAAGTTTGTGTGTTTTTAAATTGTGGTTCATTATTTACACATTGATTTTTGCCTAAGATCTGAAGCTCCACATGTGAGCATATTTAGATACCCTTAATTGTTCTTGCCCCTTCCTTTAAATTGTCTCTGAGTTTGGAGCAGGTTTTTTTTTTCTTTGAAAAAGGCAGTAGTCCAACGGAAAATTCATTTGAGCTATATAATGGTATTATTTTCTGTATTGTGCATGCTCTTGCTTACCCTAGAATCTTGTTTGCCTTTTTGAAATGAGCTGAAGGCTTGAGTTATCATCAGAAATCCCTTGGGTTTTCTGAGCTACAGTAATTTAGAATATTCATTTTATTGTCACATGTTGAGCATTACTTTATTTAGCTTAACTTGATACACAGTGTTGTTGCTCATTTACTGTGTTTGGATATTCCTCACAGTTCTTTCTAATACTATCTTAAGTTTAATTAGTCTTCTCTACGTTTTGGTCCCAGCTGTTCAATTTATTCACTTTCTGATAACCTGTCTCATTCTTAGCTTTCTTCTGACTCTAAAAATAATTTCCTCTTATGCAGTGTTTAGAAATTAATAATATCCCTTGAAATATATTTGATGTGTATTTATGAGCTTTGCCGCAGTCTGCAATAGGAACAAAATCCTACTAGAATTGCAGTGTATATAGGGTTACAGGTACACTTTTTATGCTTGCATAATTAATGAGTTGTGAAGAATTGCGTTCTGTTTATGTAGTTTCATATAAAAGTGTGCTGAAAGCAAAGCAACACAAATCGGAAATTAGCTCTGGAATGAAGACAAGTAAAGCTAAAATGTTGGTGTGCTTCTACCATAGTTTTATATGACGCTATAAGTACTTGAAAACTTGAAAAAGTTATGTTGTTTTCTTTATCTATTACCTTCTTGACACACATTCATAAATTTTTTATTCTATTTGGCTTTCTCCAAAAAACTCTTGCTAGTTAAACTGCATGTTGTAGTCTTTCATAAATTTGTACTTAATCAAGATTTCTGCCAGCAGTCTTGACTCAGGTATACAACCCACTGACCTTGAGCCTTGGATTCTGAAACAAATGTGTTTCCTACTCATGGTTGTTTGGGACATATCCTGTCTTTTAAGAGTACATGCTGCTTAGAGCTGCTCAGCTACTTCATGTTTGAGCTCTTTCCGCACTTAAAAAAGTAAATCATGTGGACTAGGTGGCTGATTTGATTGATTGCTTTGTCATATGACAGTGTTTTTGATGTCTATTTTGACACCTCATTCTTTGATTAGTACTTTATCTTACTACTAGCAAAAAGCATGTCTAAGGTTGGTATTTCCTCTCCTCCTCTTCCTTTTCAGGTCTTTCTGTGATGAAGATCAATGCAAGTACATTGTATATCATCACAGTAATATTTTAATCTTCTTTAACAGGTCTGCATTTTAACCCTGATTGGCAGCTCTGTAGTAGCACAAAACAGGCAGAATATACCAGTAAATTGTGATGTAAAAGTAAAATTGCAAGCAACACAATGATTTTTTCACCTTTAAATCACTTCATATTCTCTGACTTCCCTGTTTAGTGTTTCTAAGTGCTTTTATTTTTAAACAAGGAAATTCCAGGGTCAAAGAGTCTAGGACAAAGTAATATTGAAGATTAATTCTATTAAACTTTTTTGGAGAGCCATTTCTCTGACTCTAGCCTATATACAAAAGCAGAAATTGCCCAAGGTGCCATCTGTGGAGTATGTGCTCTGTGGGAGAGAAAAATACATGCTCCTGCTGCACCTGATTTCTCTTTTTCTGGCTTCATCCAGTGAGCTGCTTGAGGGGTCTGTTGGTCGACAGTAGGCAACTCACCAGAGTTTTAAGCAAACTTGACTTGTGAAACAGATCAGTGTGTGAATGTGCTTTTGTTTAGACTGTTAAAAACTAAATATGTGTTTCTTGTTCTTTACTTCCAAAATAATTGTTAAATATTATATGTAATAAATGTTGGGTCTTATATTTTAATTTTTCTCTCCTCAGTGTTCTTTGAAAGTGTGAAATCAGAACTCAGGAATGGATCCTCAGAGTACTCTGATATTTCTGATTCAGAAGAATCTGAGCCTGATTGCACTACACAGGTATAGCTAGAAAAAGTCACAAAAGTTAACAAAGCAATTAAATATAATTTTGCCCATTCACTTCAAATTTATCTGGTCAAAGTTTGTGTTAAAAGAGCAATAACAAAGTATTTAATTCTTGTTCAAGTTAATATCTCAAACTTACGGTTCTGCCTCATTTTTCATTTATTCTAGTGTTGAGAAAAATTACAAGATATGCTATCTTGAGCCAAATTTCATGATCATCTTTGTCATTAAAGTGGGGCTGGCAAAGGATGAGCCCTGCTCTGGAACATGCAAAGTCTGAGAAAAGTTAGATCCTAGTTGCTTTGTTCACTTCTTCCATAACAAGTCTAAATTTCATCATTAGAATTATGGATATCTACCACACAGTTTCATTTTAGAGCATGGTTAAATGGAAACAATCTTGTAGGCCTTCACTTTTTTTAAATAAGCTGAAGTGGCTAAATCCTATTGAGATGTGTTAGACTATTTGAAATAAATGGGAATCCTCCATTTGAGGGTCTAGATTGTAGTGATTTCTTTACAGCTAAATGAAATATAAATGCACACACACACACACTTGTACATGTATATATGTTTACATGCATGTATTTTAATACAACTTTTAGTGTTTAGAAATGTGTATATGTATATACAAATGTTTTTATGATTTTTTTCCCTTGCAAAATTGTGCTCTGATGTACTAATTGCAATTTTAATTGGATAGCAGTAAAATGCTAGTAGGGTGGCGTGATTACCTCAAACTTTTGTTCTGTGCTTCTGGAAAGCTAATGCTTTGGTGTTTCTTTCAATCGTCAGCCTATTATAAGACTTTACAAGAAGTCTTCAAATTCCTACTTTTTCCATGGTGGTCAAGATCTGTTTTCAATATTTGTTGTCTTCCATCATTACCTTATCTAGATGTTGGAATAAGTGATAGGAACATTCATGATGTGGCTTCTTCTGGTTTCCTGAACTGCATTGTCAGCAACTTTGGCTTAGCAGGTTGTTTTTTTTTTTAAGACACAGAATCAATAGTTATTCAGAAGTGATACATTTTTTCTTCACAGGAGACTGTAGCCGGTTTTGGATGACTTCGTCATTGAGTGAAATGTTTTATATTAATGCTATTTACTCTCTTAGTTCATTTTGGATATATCATTACAAAAGACAAATTTAAACATGCAGAAAAATGATTCCATTCGATACTAGTAGAAATTAAGAAGTAGAAGGATAGAGAAGGAACTATCTCAGTAGCTCCTGTAAATCCTTTTTATGTTTTTATATTGCACCGGAGATCTTCACAAAACAAGCTAATAGCTTTATTACTAATATTGAGTCATAGTTATAATTTAATTGCCCGTTTGTTTCACTTTCCGAGTGTCAAAGATTAACAAGCTGCTCTTGTGAATGACACTATTGTATAAAAACATCCCTTGGCGATACAATGCACTTCACTCATTCCAGTTCTGTTTTTGATGATAGGGAGAGTGGAGTCAGTCTTGAAGGATTATGATTCCTTCATGTCCTAATCTTCCATTTTCAACACTTTTATTGATTGTCATGTATATTGCTTGGCTTGAAAAAATAATTGTGGTGCTCTCTGTACTTGTTGAAAATAGATTAGTCTGAATTACCAAGCTGGAAATATCTAATGTAGCCCTTGCTTCACATAAGGGCATATTGAGTCACATACGGTTGCTCCACCTTTGAGAAGCTCTTGCCCATACAAGCTGTAATCTCAGCAGGAGCTGAAAAGCCCTTTTATTCATTAAATGAGGCTGTGCCATTGTAAGGGAGGTAACAGCTGCTGTGCTGCTGTTTCTGCTGTGTTCTGCATTTACCTGAGAGCTGCTGTCACTCAGAAAGTTATCTTTTGTGAGAGCAGGAACCAGAAACAGTTTGGGCAGGTTGCGTCCCATTATATGTAGTAGGCATCAATTCTGGCTGCTGCTTGGAACCATACTTCCGTATTTTTTCCTCTACCTTGAATACAGAAGATAAGAATAATCAATGCTCTGTTTAAACAGAATACAATGATTTGTGCATGGTTTAATATGTGTGGTGTTTTCTGTAACAAAATGGATTTTGGAGATGCTTTCTATACTGCTGGAGCGTGTACTCATCAGTGTTAGAAAATTTGGCTGTATAGCAACTCAGCTGCTATATTCAAATTAACTGCATTCTGAATACTATATATATAAAAAAGTTGGACCTGGAAGCTTTTGAATTTTTTACTTAGCATAAATTAAGGTAGTGTTTCTATTTAGGAGGCGTGGTGACCATTCTGCATACTGTTTCCTTGTGTTTCAGCAGAAGGATTCCTCCACAGAGGAGTCGGAAAGCTCAGGTGATGAAGAGAAGCCGGAAGTAACATCAAATTTCAAAGAGGAATCTAAGGTCACGAGAGACCTTTGTCAAAATACCCAGAAGCCATCCAGAAATGAAACTCCCAGTAAAAAGTAAGCACATTGTGGGCATTTGTTTATAAACTGTTACACCTTCTTGCACATATTTATGGTTATGCTTTTATACCAATGTAAAAATAATTCCTTCAGAGAAATTGAGGGTTCTGTTTTGAACTGCTTAATACTCCCTTATTTTTCTAGGGAATGTCCTACCTCGACAAGTACAGAAGAAGAAGCTATTCAGGGCATGCTTTCTATGGCAGGATTGCACTATACGACATGTTTACCAGGTCATACTCAAAGCACAGACTGCACAGGTAAAAGAACCTCTCTTCAGGAACACAGAAGCTACCCCAGGAGTCGGCATAAAGATAGACAGCCATCTCAGAGCCACAAAACAGTAGAATGTGGTAGGTGCCTGAACTAATGACACTGCTGCTCTCTGCTCTTGGACAAACTGCTCAGAATAAGCACTTAAAGTTAAATTTTTAGATTTGTAGTCAAGTTTTAAAGCAAATCAGACAACATTTAAAAAGGTGCGTTCTTTGGTTTTGGTTTGGTTTTGGTTTTTCTTCCTATAAAAAGTAAATGTGTACTTCTGAAAACTGGGACAAACTTAGTTTGAGAGGTCATCAGAATACATCTTCTAAATATTGCCATCTAAGAATTTTGTGGCATCCTTACAAGAGTGGCAAAGTTATGGCTAGATTGAAAGTGTAGTCTCCTTGTTGAAAGTGTAATCTTCAGAAAAGATTGACAGAACCTTCATGGTTGCAGCTTTCATGGCATGTTTGTTACTTAGATATCCATAGGAATCTGCTTGGTGATTTTTCATGTGTCTTTGGAAGGCATGTTTGGCTTTACTCCTGAAATTCTGCTATGAATGCAGTGCATTACAGGAGATTCTAATCTTGACGAGGAGAATTCAGAGGTAATTTTTTTTTGTCCATCGCATTTTGATGTCTGTGGAAAAGAGACATCTGTTAAATGCATTTTGGGAACGACAGGCAGCAGAACATTAACGCTAATTCTCTCAAAGGAATCAAAATCACTTCTTGGAACACAGAGTGAGTCATTATGTTTGAAAATTCTTTGTTTGAGAAGGAAATGGAAGAGGATTATAGCTTTGCTGATGTGAAACAAATAGAACCCCACCAACAAATAGGGTGCTAATTCAAAGAACTAGCAGTATGTTGATTTTTGCTTACATGGATAACAGGAGAGCCTAATGTGATGTCATGGACTGTGTTCTGGTAATTGAAGCTGTATGTCCTTAAATCCCACCAAATAAATAAATAAACAAACCCAACAACAACAAACCCTAAGCAGCAAAACACACGGACACATACAGTGCCTTTCCATCTTTGTAACTTTACGAAAAACATAATATCCAGGTTTCTAAATTGTGAGTTGACTCAGGCCAACAGCTAAGCATCCACACAGCCACTTGTTCTCTCCTCCCTCCCTGTGGGATGGGGGAGAGAGTAGAGCAAAAGTGAGAAGATTCATGGGTTGACATAAAGACGGTTTAGGTGAAGCAAAGAGGAAATGAGTGGTGCAAAGGCAATCACTCACCACCTTCTGCAAGGAGACTGATGCCCAGCCAGTCTCTGAGCAGTGACTACCTTGGAAGACTGCCTGTCCCCCAGCCTCTTCCTCTACCCCAGTTTTTGTAGCCAAGCATAACATTATATGGTATGGAATATCCCTTTGGCCAGTTCAGGTCAGCTGTCTGGGCTATGTCCCCTCCCAGTCTCTTGCCCACCCCTAGCCTACTTACTGCAGGGGGCAGAGTGGGAAAAGAGAAAGCTGTGACACTGTGCAAACACTGTTCAGCAACAGCCAAAACTTTGGTGTGTTGTTATCAATGCTGTTCTAGCCACAAATCTAAAATATAGATTTCCTAACGTATGGACTGTTAGGAAAAAATTCCATTCCAGACAGACTGGAATCAAACTCCACGGCTGAAGATGAAACTCTGCTTCTTAACTCATGGATTTTGCAAAACCTTTCGGTCTCTCCAAATTCAACTTGAATTGGTGTCGTGGGATACCCTTAATTTTACAAGTTAACTGTATTGTAAATGTGTTTTCAATGTGGACACTTCTTCTATAAGCCTATCAGCATAGATCTTCCATATGTTGTACCTGAATAGCACATCAGTGCTTAGAAACAATACAATCAATAATACCTGAAAATTAAAGACAATGTCCATCTTTGCATGAACTCCTCATGATACAAAGCCATGGTAGAAAACTGTAGTGTAACAAAGCAAGTAAGCTGTCCTCAACATCAATGCTTTCAAACTGAACGATTATATTTGTCTGACCTTCTTTCTGTGGTATATGGATCATTAATTAGGTGTATTTATATTGTGAGATTGTTTTCCCAATTTAGTATGTAGAACCGAGCAGCTCTGATAACTTTTATTTTGTATCTAGGAAATGTTTTCCATTGTATTTTCCTTTCTTTCTTGTTTTAACTTTAAAGTTATTCAAATGTATAATTAACTTTGTATTCCTAGTTTTTGATTTTAAAATTTAAGCTTGTTGAACTTCTCTTTAGGTAGGTCTGTGAAGGAAGAGGAAAGAGACTTGGGGACTTCAGCATGGGCTAGACACCTGAATGAAGCTTCGAGGATTACCCCTCAGGTAAAACAATACTTTAAACATTTTGAACACAAAAATTTTTATAGGAAAAAGAGATCATGAAATTGTAAGTATAGAAAGCATGGTGGACAGGTCTTTCCACGCTGCATATCTGATAATAGATAATTCTGATGCTGGTAACTGAGTATTACGTTTTTGTCACGCTTTTTTTTGTTGCTGCTGTTTTGATTTTTTTCCTTTCAAACTCTCTTCTGTCATAGTGGCTAGTATTAAGATGCTCAGGGCAGTATCTTGAAAAATAAAAAAATGTTTTATAAAAAAAAGTGTGAATTTACATTCACTCTAACAGGGAAGCACTGTATTGTTTATTCGTTGTTATTCCCAACCAGAGCATCAGAACAAGTGGAACCTGTTGATAGTATTTATAGTAAAGATACTTGCTTAGGAAATTGGTACTGCCAAACTGATACAACCTTTCAGCAGCCAGCAGGTAGGAATATTTTTGCTTTCTGATGTCCAGGTGGAATCCAGCAAGGAATATATATATGAAAGGTTGTGTGTCTTACACACTGAACTTTTTTAGTATTTCTAAACTTGTCTGTATTAGAAGTATTAGAACAATTAAACAATTAAATAGAACAACAGAACAATTAAAGTTGCAAAAGAACAGTGCTATTTAATAGCTGTATTTTAACTGCATGCTTTTTAGGTTTTTTTTCTTTTTGTAAGAATATCTAACTACATGATACTTCTTACAGTTTGTAATTCCCAATTTAGTGTTTGTTCTCTCATCAACTGAATATTGAAGAGAAATTGCCTGTTTATGTAGTCAGTGGTTATGGTATGGCTTGCTATAGTGGCCAGTTTAATCAAGAGCAGTTGCATTTGTTTTGATCACTGCAAACTAAAACCAAAAAGCAAAGAAATTGAGTACACTAGTGTGTGTAATTAATCTATAGCATTGCCCTTAAGCACATATGGAAAAGCTTGTACAGAGATACTATATTGTATTTTATTTTTAAGAGGTATCTATACTAAAAGAAATGATGGAATCATGAAGTGGTCAGACACTGGTGGAACGGAAATATCTTTTTCAAAGATACAGTAGTATAATTAGAAAAACACTTTTTTCTTCTCCTCATTTCCATACTAGGATACAAGTAAAACTCAAAAATATATCAAGAAAGAGGGTGCATCAGAAGCCAATCATAAGGTTCAGGAAAACAGAAGTATAGTCCACAACAACGGCTTGAGTTTTCAGCATGGCAAGTATACACGAGACTCCAATCTAATTCAAGGAGAATGTCGGCTGAGTGATGGCAGCCTTAGCCCTGACAGGCCATATGGTGAAACATCCTTGTCTGTACCACTTCATCCAACAAAGAGGCCAGCATCAAATCCACCCCCTATCAGCAACCAGGCGACAAAAGGTAATGTGTATCTCTCTTGTCCTCTTGCCGGGGGGGCAGCGGGGGAGGAGAAAAAGACTAGGAAGAGGAGAGCTTGTAAACGTCAAAAAGAGCTGTTAGATTCAGAAACTGAAAAAAGAGCAGACTTGGACCTTGAGGAAAAATATAAAATGGACATTCTGTGGATACTCGAATTTTGGCACAGAATGTGTGGAGGTGGAATTAAGAGAGATCTGACTGGGTGTGTGGCCAGATGAAATTTTCATAGTTACCATTGCACCTTTGCAGGTGTATGTGTTACGCATTTATTACAGGGAACAGAACCACAGCTATACTCCGAAACACTGCCCTGAATCAGATTTGTTTGTTGAAGTGAAGGTTTAAAAGCTGTGACACTTCAAAAAATAGTCTGATGATCATAATATTTAGTTTTTAGCTTCTAGTTTATTTTCTATGATTTACTCAAGGGAATAACTTGAACAAAATTCAGGAAGCTCATTTTAGTTTCTCCCGTACCACACCCACTGCCCTTCCCTAGACTGGAAACATTTGTTAATATAATCACTTTATTTATAATAATGCTAGCCAGAGTTTAGGGAAAACAATTCCTGTTTGTTTACAATTCTGATTCCCTGTTTGTTTGTTTTTGTTTTTGGGGGTTGGGGTTTTTTTTTGAAACTGATTCATGTGAAAATTTTGCCTGCTTCAGCTTGAAGGCTAGGTTTCATCTTTGTTCTATGATGATAAAAATTTGTTCTGAAATTCCTGATCTAAGTACTTGTTTTCATTTTTCAGGCAAACGTCCAAAGAAAGGAATGGCAACTGCTAAACAGCGCCTTGGGAAGATCCTGAAGCTGAACCGGAATGGCCATGCACGCTTCTTTGTTTAATGTAGCTGCTACTTCTACTACTGCTGTCTTTCCTACACAGACCAGTATTGAGGTCAACAGAGCCTGGAGCTGCTGTTATTCCTCTGCTTGAAGCAGACTTGCATGTACCATATAAAACACTGCCTGATGAACAAAAACAAGAAAGAAAAAAAAAAAAAACCAACAAAAAAAAAACCAACCCAATGCTGCATTTTCACTGTGCCACACCTGCTCAGCAATAACCATATGGGAATGGGGAAATCTTCAGAGAGACATGGACTGTGAGAAGTAGTCTCTCATCAGGGCTTGAATATCATTTGTTGCTGGTAGTTTCTGACCTAATTAATGAGGGGAAGATGATGAAGGTGGTTTATCAATAATTTATTTCTGATAGATTTTGACAACTTTTAAAATTCATTTAAAAAACCTATTTATTTGGAAGACTTTTTTGTGGGGGTTATTAATTTAGATTTAAGAATGTGAAAGTTTTTAATTGTTTGATAATGTATGTTTGGTGCAGTGGAGAGCCACATTAATTGTGATTAGTCTGGACTCCTAAATTTGATATTCAGGTTATAGTCTTAAATAGGGTTGAGATGCATTATTAATTATTTTTTAAATTAAGGCATATGGAATCTTATTTTTTTTTTCCTGCTTTTTGTAAGCTATTGGCTGGGCTTCTGTTGACTTGCAAGTTGCATATTCTCTGCCAGCTTGATTATTTTTTGACCTGTCCTCTTTTATACAGAATTATTTATTTGATGGACTAGAAGAGACTCCTAAAGGCAGAAGAATCTTCTTATGTCAGTCCAGTAGCTAACTTGTTTTAAACTGCACCCCTTTCCTCCAAATTGGACTGCATGCTTTTCCTCCCGATGATCTATCTGTGATGATTTTCTTCTGTAAAAAGGCTCCCTGAAATTGTATTTGTACATGTTATTTAAGAGTTGGTACAAAGGAGGGAAACCTAATATATCTTTTTGGAGGAACGGGGAATCAGTTAAGATAAATGTTTCTTCAGAACAATTACTCTGAAATAACTCATATATTGCAGTCTTAAGATTTGGCATATTACTTAATGTAGCATGGAAGAAGCATTAAAATATTATTGTACTTTAAACACATTTTACTGAAGAGTCAGGAAGGCAGGAGAATGTGTGTTGCTTTCAAAGCTGGGTGAGACAGCCAATTAAAAGTCTTAACTGGTGCATACATAAGCATTAAGTAGCTTACTGGTATCAGAATGATCATTTGTGTCAGGCTTCATACAGAGCTGATAGCAAATGCCAATTCTGAATTATTGTAAATAATTTTGATTTAAAATTTGTATTTTTCTGTAATATAAAATTAAATATTTAACTTTTGGGGGACGGGGATGAAGGCGGAAAGGGGAATACTTTTACTTGATTCTGGAAAAAGGGCATTTTGCAGGGTCCAGCCAAAATGAAAACATTAATATGCTAGTGACAACAATATTGTTGGTCATTTGGGTTTTTTTTTGGTTGCTAAGAGTAAAAATACTCAGGCATAGCTATCCAAGTCATTGGACTGATTTAACTTTCCATACCAGTTTTTCCTTCCTCCATATTCTATACTGGAATTGTTTTCTCTTGTTGTGCTTTAAAAACAAATTCAGTTGGACTTTTCAGAATATTTGTGCAGAGTTATTTTTATCTAGGCTAGATTATGAATCCCTTTACAAATTTATGGAAATAGTTCTGATGTCAGGTGGTTTTGATTGTTGTAGAGTCAAAACTATTTAGCACTATGTTAACCTGTTTCTAAATTGAGAAACATCAGAACATGATGCATCTGCAAGTAAGTCAGGTAGCTTTCATGGCTTTACTTCCTCTGGAGCTTGAAAATTGTAACTTAGGAATGTTTTTTGCAGCCCATTCTTTTACATTGTATTGACTTGACTTTATAGTTTCGTGTGTGTGCATATGGGTGAGGTTTTTTAACCTTTTTTGTTTGCTAATTATGGTTTCACAAAAGCATGTTTTCAGTCTTTTTTTATTTTTTTTTTTTTTTAATTTAATGCAAGTTGTCAACCTTGTTTAGACTATTGCGAATGGAGGTAACAAAGGATTTCTAAAAAGCAGAAGATAAGCTAAGAGGTATTCTACAGGTGCTGAAAGTGACTATAAGCATTTGCTGTTCTCAGGTGCTATGTTTTCCAGATGGAAATAGTTAAAAGAGAGTATTTTAACTATCTTCTAATATGTTCTCACCAAAGTCAAAGAAATAAACTATGTTGTCAATAATAGTTAAAATTATATACCCATATAAATATTCTCTGTGCTTCAGCTTGAGGAAACTGATTAATGCCTGCCAGGCTTTGGAAACTGTTGAACTGTTGCATATTGAACCAAACTGTTTCCTTTTTGCTGGCTACATAATTTTTAAGAATAGAAAATTCCAGTTTAGGGCAGCAGTCAGATTCAGAGCAGCGTGAAGAATGAGCTCTCTCCTTAAAGTCAGATTTTTGAGAACACTTATGAAATAGAAGTATGCCAGAATAGAATCTGGAGTAAGGAATTTTAAAATATGGAGTGTGCTTTCTTGTACATGTGACTGCCTTATACACAGTCTCTTTTCTGACCATCTGCATTATTTATCTGTAGCTTACTATTGGAACACAGATGTGGCTGGACCCATATATATTATTTCTTCTTGGGTTTATTCTTTCTTTACTCTTTCTACCTTTTTTTCAAAGTGGCTCTCCGCTGTCATGAATTTATGTAATAGTCTCTTCATAGGCTGTCAACAGGCAGAGGTTTATTCCAATTTTCTTCAGATATCCATGCTTCCAGCAGAAGTTAATTCTGAATGTTCCACCTCAGAACAAGTAACTTAAAAGAAATTGACATGATGAGCAGTATTTAAAAAAAAAAAAAAAAAAAGAAAAACCAAAGAAAAAAAAGGGAAAAAAAAAGTCTCCTGGTAGCTCATGAAGAGGATGTGGTGACCTCACTTGTTTTGTGTACTTGTAGGTAGGGGTATTTTTACTGTGTTCTAGATGAAAACACTACTGCACCAATCTTTCTGTAGATGGACTGAACCTTGTGGTGTTGTAGTGGAGAGAAAAAGCCCTATTTTTTTCCTTGCTGTCTCACTTGGGGTGGAAGAGGGAGGGAGTAGGGAATACCAACTGGACAACAAAGAGAATTAAGCCTGCTATGGTAACTCGTTTTCGAGGATAATCTTTTTTTAAAAGCCAGAGAACTTGGATTTGGCATAAAACGTAATTGTGGGGTTTTTTTGTAGACAGAACAATAGGAAATGAAATATTACAGGGGTTTTCCCCATTCTCCAAGTTCTCATGTTCCTGCAATTAAAAAAAAAAAAAAGAAACAAACATGAAAATGGAAAGACCACCTAGAAACTATATCAAAGACTCTTCCAGCAACTTTCCCTTTTCTTCTCCTGCTATACTTGCTAATAAACCCTGGCTACAAGGTAGCCTTCGTTGACCTCTGAGGTAGATTACCTATGCAACCTATAATACTCTACATGAATCCATTCTTAAAGACAATTTTAAAAGGGTTAGGTGTTGAGAGTTAAAATTGTTGCTTTCTGATCACATGGGGGATTTGGGAGGGGTTGGGTTTTGGTGGTTGAAGTCTTTGTGTTACCTTTAGTAGAGAGGTAAGAGAGCACAGTGTCATGATCACATTTTAGAAGCTTCAGCTGTCCTTAGGCTTTGCTATATGGCATAAGCTGCTTTCATTCGCAAGGCCATGAAGCTGTATATGTTGAAAATTTTTGCAGGGTTTTGGAGTCAGAGCTGATGTGAATCTTGCTACCCCCTTTTTGGTAATTGTGGAGACTAAACAGAACTGAAGCTAGAATGACCTGCTACTACAAGCCTATACCTAGTGCCCTGTTCAGGCTCCACATGCCCACCTATCCCTTCACACCCCCACCATGACCCCCAAATCTAGTGTCTTTCCAGAGTTTCATTCACTTAATACTTCCAGACCATTAAAAGCTGTTAGTAGCTCTGGGGTTGAGCGAGCCCAGAGCTACTCTTTCACAGAAGAAATATAAATGGAACCAAGGGCCTTACTATTTGTGGTTAAACAAGATTAAAAGCTGCAACATCCATTTTTCCAAAAAAAAAAAAAAAAACAAACAAACCCAACCCAACAACAAAAAACACCCTAGTGTAACCCTCTTTGTGGGAGCGTATGAGTGATAAATCATGCAGTGGATGGGAAATACAAGTAGCACTGATAAGGAAATGCATGTTCTTCATAGGCTGCATTTCCGTTTGGAAAAAAGACTTTTTCTACTTTTAATATAAATTAAGCCATAAGAGTTTCATGCTGTGGGAAGGGAATGAAAGGGATCACTTTAAGAGATTATATTGATATGTATTGTCACTTCTGCTGGGAAATGTCTATTGCTGCCAATGCTTTGGTGAATCTTTTTTTAAAAAAAAACATGGAATTTGAAAAAAAAAAAAAGAAAAAAAAAGGGGCTAGTTCTTGGCTATATTTACTAGTTTTGTAGTAACGTTTTGCTGGCCCGTTTGTCTTTTCCTCTCCTTTTTCTACTCTCATAGTCTAATTTCTATCTTTCCTTCTTCTATCTCTGAAAATATTAGCTTGTCTGCTCAGTAGGGGTCGGTGTATGTGTGTCTTCCTTTTTACAGAAACGCACTACTGTGTTAAGTATTTGGCTGGGAAATGGGATGCTGCAGCTTTAAGAGCATTTTTTTCAATTCATAACAGTATTTCCCATCCTCTTTTGCCTGCAGGCAGGGAAAGTGTATGTACAGTATTTATTTTGTTTTGATTTTACTTTAAATTTGTAAGTTTCTATAAGTAGTTCACATTGATTATTCTAGGGGAGGACAAGTGGCTTTGTTTAAATTTGTATTTGATATTCATAGTTTCCACTTTCTGTACTTTAAAATACTGAAATTAAAAAATTGTATTGCTTATGTTTTGATTTTAGCACTCTAAAGCGTTTAATTTCTTCAGACTTCTGCTCATTTGCTTCAGTGTAAATACAGAAAACTGTACAGAATATTGTGAGGAGAAGAATGCTTTTCTAGGTCTAATCTTTGTGCCCTTTACTTGTCGTATTTTAAAGAAGAAATTTTCTGGAGAAATGTGAGAGGGAATATTCTCATACTGTTTTTTTTATTATTATTTTTTCAAAGGGCAAATCTCATTTCAATCCAAGTATATTATATGGCAACTAAATGCATTTTGTGAAGATGTGTATATTCTTTTTGAATCCTAGTATAAAAGGGAGGAAGGGAGGTGGAAGTTTTGTGATCCGTCATATTAGCAGATCTAGAACTGTAAGAAGGGTGTCAAAATTGTATTTTCATGTTCTTGCTCTTGGTTTTTGTTCAGATTTTTCTCATGCTACTGATGACTGACTCATCTCTTGATTTCTTG